TGATGGACGGGACGACGGGTCGTGCTCGTCACTCCACAAACCGATTCGTCAGCACAAATCAAAGAGAAAGAGAGAGCCAGAATATTAAAACCTGATCTGAATACACATCAACTTTACATTTACATTCTTCTCGTTACGATCTGATCTAACGATCATTGAGGTTGAATTAGACTTTTGTGTATGATTTATTGTATTTATATAAAAGACGTCAGAGTCAGTTGTTCATTTATTGCTCAATAAACATAATAATGTTTGCTCTTGTCCACCAGGTGGCGCCGTGTCCCTCGCAATAAACAACAGCTTTTTAAAACTTCTTATCTGGTCCAACTTTCTCAAGCCAACTTAAAGTTTGTCTCAACTAACTTTTTAATCTAGTTAACATATAAACGGATCTTGGACTTCTCAGAGAAAAAATAAATATTGCTCAGTGATTAATCTTTTATAACTGTTAATCCTTGGAGATATAATAACACTTAAATGAGTTCGCTAGTCTGCACGTTTCTGGACACTTCGAGAATCATGACTTTTGTTTTCATTTTTTTAAAAGAGATTCTGAATAAAAAATACAAAATAACATGCAACAAAATGTTAATTTCTGCAGCCTATATAACAAACATGTAATTCATTCTATTCATTATTAAAACAAAAAGGGTGAATGAATGATTCCACAACTCACTCATAAAGACTTCACTTCTTCCACTTCACTTGTAGATTGTACCAAAAAATAAAAAAGCGAATCTTTAGTAAAAAAAAAAAAAAAAGTTTTATTACTGGATGAATCAGCGTTTCTTAGCGAATCTCTTGAATGAATGATTCAATGACTCACTCATAAACACTTCACTTGTTTCATTACTGGATGAATCAGCGTTTCTGAACAAATCTCTTGAATGAATGATTCAATGACTCATAAAGATTTCACTTGTTTCATTACTGGATGAATCAGCATTTCTGAGCGAATCTCTTGAATGAATGATTCAATGACTCACTCATAAAGACTTCACTTGTTTCATTACTGGATGAATCAGCGTTTCTGAACGAATCTCTTGAATGAATGATTCAATGACTCACTCATAAAGACTTCACTTGTTTCATTACTGGATGAATCAGCGTTTTTGAACAAAACTCTTGAATGAATGATTCAATGACTCACTCATAAAGACTTCACTTGTTTCATTACTGGATGAATCAGCGTTTCTGAGCGAATCTCTTGAATGAATGATTCAATGACTCACTCATAAACAGTTCACTTGTTTCATTACTGGATGAATCAGCGTTTCTGAACGAATCTCTTGAATGAATGATTCAATGACTCACTCATAAACACTTCACTTGTTTCATTACTGGATGAATCAGCGTTTCTGAACGAATCTCTTGAATGAATGATTCAATGACTCACTCATAAACACTTCACTTGTTTCATTACTGGATGAATCAGCGTTTCTGAACGAATCTCTTGAATGAATGATTCAATGACTCACTCATAAAGACTTCACTTGTTTCATTACTGGATGAATCAGCGTTTCTGAACGAATCTCTTGAATGAATGATTCAATGACTCACTCATAAAGACTTCACTTGTTTCATTACTGGATGAATCAGCGTTTCTGTACGAATCTCTTGAATGAATGATTCAAAAACAAACACATGTTTTACAGTAACAGTCACTTATCACTTGTCGCCACCTACTGGTGTAACGATGCAATCAATACAATCATTATTTGAAACGTCGTTACTTTCAAACAGGGATTTACTCTCTACTGGCCGCTGCTCATCAGTGTCTCCATCTTATTTAAATTACGGAAAACTATTTTTAATATAGTTTTAGTTAACACTCACATCTTTGACACATCTCGGGTCACAGCAGGTCATTGTGTTGCTTCTTAAATCCTTCCTCATCCACTGTAATCCTCCATAAGACAGTGGGATTAATGGGATTATTGGGATCATCAGGTGTCGGATGATGCGGATCTGGATGATGTTTGATTAGGGTTGAGCCGCTGCTGTCACTCATCCTGCACTGAATCTTCATAACAAGAAACATCAGAAACTCAAAATACACAGACTGAAGCAATGTGGGGCGGGGCTTGATTTATTCCTCATAATCTGATTGGCTGGTGAGACGTGCACTGTAATACCAGAGACATTTGTTAAAGGGACCGTTCACCTAACTTTTGGTCTGAGAAACGCAGGTTTGGTTCCCACCGTTCTTCAAAGCGTTTGATTTTTTGTTCTGAAAAAGAGAGACAGTCATACAGGAGTGGAACGACTCGAGGGCGAGCAAAGGATTTTTGGGTGAACTGTCCCTTTAAGAACATGAGCTGGTTCATGAAGTGAAAATCATATTATATATTTATTATTTTATTGTCTTCTTGTCACAGTGACTGTTCACAGTGCATTATTGTTTCTGTATTTATTTGTCTAGTCAGAAGAAAGTGACTGTTCTTCATTTAGTAAAAAAAAAGTTAAAAAAAAATGTATTTATATCCTGATGTTTTTTCTCGTCTGTTTTATGTTAATTTGTTCTACCGTGTGTATTATTTAAGCAGGACTTCAGTGATTTGGGTCTCGGAGCACTTTACTGGGATTATATAACCAGACATGCTGATGATGAAAATATACACATGTAGTGTGTGTGTGTGTGTGTGTGTGTTTATGCTTGCGTTTGTGTGTATGCTTGTATGGGTGTGTGTGAGAGGGTGTGTGTTTGAGTGTGAGTGGATATGTGTGTGTACGCATGTGTGTGCTTATGCTTGCGTTTGTGTGCATGTATGTGTGTGATAGAGTCTGTGTGTGTATGTGTGTGTGTGTGTGTGTGTGTGTGTGTGTGTGTGATAGAGTCTGTGTGTGTATATGCTTGTTTGTGTGTGTGTGTGTGTGTGTGTGTGTGATAGAGTCTGTGTGTGTATGCTTGTGTGTGTGTGTGGCATCTGAATCTTAGAGTGTATTAGTCCTGTAAAGTGGACAGAATCGTAATGAATTGCAGTCAAATCCCTCCTCCTGACTCTTAATCTGCACATGTGTGTGTGTGTGTGTGTGTTCAGCGTGTTCATCTGTGTGTTTAGATGACCGGGATTATGGGTCTGCAGGACAAAAGGGCTTTTTGTAGTTATTGTTATGTATGCATTCATTCATACAGTCACAGTATTCATCTGGAGATCTGCTGATATATCTCTAATATATCTATATATTTCTCTAATATATCTATATTTCTCTAATATACGTATCAGTCCACGATTCAGACTGATTGACTGTGTTTTAACTCTTCTCCGTTTATCTTCCCCAATACAGCAGATTTCCAGCTGTGGGAAAGAGTTCTTGATCAGTGTTTAGACGAGCGCGACCGCAGTTGAGATAAGATGGTCAGATGTGCAGAAACTCATTTCAGAGAAACATGATATTTTGCATTTAATCCTTTAAAAAAACACCATGAGTTCATGTCAGATTGTCAGTGATGGATTCAAATTGATTTTCCTCATTGTTATAGTGTGTTCTTGAACACTTTTGTTTGATTTCGAGTCAAATCTGCATTGTGTTTATGTGTGTTACTTTTAAACCGGACATTCGGCCCTCACTATATTAACTCTACGATAAGAGGAAGATGTTTGTGCTCTTTTTCCACGCACACACACACACACACACACACACACACAGATGGCATTAGTGGACCTGTAATCCGTGTGTAGTTTCTCTGGTCCAAACACAGCTGGGATTACAGAGCATCTCTGTGTCCGTGTGTGTCTCCGTGTTTTTTCTCTGTGTGTGTCGCCGTGTGTGTCGCCGTGTGTGTCGCCGTGTGTGTCGTCGTGTGTGTCTCCGTTCATTGATGAGAATCTGCGGTCCGTCACTCAGTCGTTGCTCCAGTTTGATTGTGTTCTCAGATCAGGTAAGTGTGTGAGACTCACAGATGGTCAGAGTCAGGATGTGTGTGTGTGTGTGTTTATCTGATGTTGTGTGACTTTACTGGTCAATTATAGTGAATGTACTGGGATCTTCATGATCGTACAGCTTTGCTAAAGATGTAAAAATCTGTTATTTTGTCCGACTTCAATATCATGTGATGTGTATGTTTTGCTTTATTATAAAATCTAAGCATTAGGGATGCACAATATATATGTGTGTGTGTGTGTGTGTGTGTCGGCCAATATATGTATGTTTATAGTTATCGGTATGAATAATCAGTATCAGCCAAAATGTTCATATCGGTGCATCTAATCCTACTACTACTAAGCGAGCATCTCTACTTTTTCAGAATGTGTTTTCGTCATGTAGCCGCACACACACACACACACACACACACACACACACACACACACACACACACACACACAGTGTTCGTAATCAGGCTTAATTTTGCTGGCAGATGATAGTTGTTCACTTAACTAGTCCATGAGAGGATTCCCATGATTCAACAGTATGCTTTAGTTCCACCAGATCAGCGACGGAAAATGATATGATGAGATCGCCGCTGGCAACGACATCAATGTACATGTTATGGTTAAAAATAGCCTGCCTTTACATGCATTTAATTGACCAAGTTAATTATAGAAATGTACAGGTGAAACTCGAAAAATTATGTTATCGAGCAAAAGTTCATTTATTTCAGTAATTCAACTTGAAAGATGAAACTAATATATTATATAGACTCATTACATGCAAAGTGAGATATTTCAAGCCTTTATTTGTTATAATTTTGACTAATGAAAAGCTTTTCACTTCTTTTGACTTTGGGGTTTTCATAAGCTGTACGCCATAATCATCACAATTATAATAAATAAAGGATCTAAAAAATATCTCACTTTGCATGTAATGAGTCGATATAATATATTAGTTTCACCTTTTAAGTTGAATTACTGAAATAAATGAACTTTTGAACAGTATTCTCGATGTCATTAAACAACAACACTGATGCAGACCAAATACTTGAAGTTACTTATAAGGAGGCATGTTAAGTGAATGTCTCTCTCTCTCTCTCTCTCTCTCTCTCTCTGTGTTTCCCACAGGTGTGTGTTTCCTGTGTTTGGTGGATGTGGTTCCTGTAAAGAATGAAGATGGCGTGGTGATCATGTTTATTCTGAATTTTGAGGTCATGCCGGACGATAAACTGCACGACCCCCAGGATCTGAATCACAAGCTGCCTCTGCTGTGGCGTCACTCCAGTACGTTCATTCGTTCAACGCTACATCTATTATAACTTTACCTTAATTAGCACATTAAAAAGACCTTAACACAAACTAAGCTGCCCAATCAGAAAAATATATTTTGCTTTATATATATTTATACATTATATATATTATATTTTTTGCTTTATGTATATTTATATATTGTATATATAATATTTTTTGCTTTATATATATTATATTTTTTGCTTTATATATATTTATATATATATTATATTTATATATATCTTTCTTCCATTTTAAAATCCAGTTATCACAAGTGACTGTAATGAGAAACTCATGCAAATTCAGCTCATTAACATATGACCGCCCTCAGTAATACAATAATTAATTACTGTATAAAATATAAAAGGTTTGTTGGTTAACATTAACTGCATTATTTAACATGGACTAATAATAAACAATTCTTCTACAGCATTTATTAATTTTAGTTCATATTAATTTCAACATTTACTAATACGTTTTAAGATTAAAGGTTTTATTTGTTAACATTAGTTAATGTACTGTGAACTAACATTAAAAAAGATTAATAATCTTTGTTAGTTCATGTTATTAAATACGTATTACGAACTAATGAACCTTATTGTAAATTGTTATCAATATTACTAACATTTAGTCTTCAGCTGGGTTTTTGTAACATGTTTCACATGCAAAAATGCAAAAGAGATCATTTACATATTAAATCCTGCATGTGTGATAAATGATCAAACAAAGTCTTAACTTGAGTCTAATATCTCTAATGTTTCTCTGTGTGTTTTTCTACCTTAAACTTAACAAACATGTTCTTTTTTGTTAAACGTCATTTAAATAAAACGAATATTTGATTTTTATAGGCACAAATATTCGAATTCTATATTTTTTTTGAAAAATGCCCTTCCCTGCCAGTGTGGAAAATGTTGATAAAAGATGCACACAAAAATGTGTGTTGATGTTTCCTGTGTGTGTGTGTGTGTGTGTGTCAGATCGCGCTCGAGGCATCCGTTTACGCCTCCCGCTCCTGAACTCCCGGAACAACAGTAAATCTTCTCTGCGGGAGGATCCCGAGGCGGGGCGAGGAGCGGGCTTCCCCAGCGGCTCGAGCCCCGAATCCCTGGCGCTGGGCGAACTCCTCTCGCTGCCAGAACACGAGCGCCCCCGTGTGGCCGCCGGCTCCACCCGCTCCACCAGCCTCGTGACCTCGCCGTCCTCTCGTGACCTGTTGGGCAGCGACCCCTCGTCTCCTCCTCCGGCCCCCCCGCACCCCGTCACGCTGCCTCTGGGTCAGTCCTCGCCTCGACCGCGCCGGCTCGACCCGGACGCCACCGTGTCCAACTGCAGCCTGAGCAACAGCCGCTCGCGCGAGAGCTTTCACAGCATGCGGCGCGCGTCGTCGGTGGACGATATCGAGGCCATGCGGCCGGAATGGGAGCGGAAGCACCGAACCCGACCCATATGCAGCAGCACGGGTGAGAAGACACCGTGACATTTACACTCCACTTCAAATCAATCATTTTATCCCTTAGATATCACCTCAATGACATATTTAAATATGTATATATTTTATATAATACAGTTTGATTTGCTAATAAAACACTGTGAAATGTCAAGAGTATTTCCGACGTTTGTTTCCTCAGGAGCCGTGAACAACAAGTCCAGCATCCTGAACTCTACCTCGGACTCGGATCTCATGCGTTACCGCGCCATCAGCAAAATCCCCCAGATCACGCTCAACTTCGTGGACTTTAAAGCGGACCCGCTCATCTCCCTCCCGCCCGGAGACATGGACATCATCGCCCCCTGCAAACTCATCGACCGCACACACAACGTCACAGACAAAGTCACTCAGGTGAGACGGCTCTGCTCTTTATCCTGAAGATGGAGAATGCCAGGCCATGAGTCCATTAAAGGGGTCATCGGATGCAAAATTCACTTTATGTGCTGTTTTGCATATAAATGTGTGTGTGTGTGTGTGCAGTGTGTGGACACAACCACCATACTACAATAATAAAACACATTCACTCCTTTTTTAAACCTCAAAAAGTCTAAACACTTAATAATAATAATATTAGCATATTTCCCATTTTAGCATATTTCCTGTATTTGCATATTTCCTCTATAAGCATATTTCCCATTTTAGTATATTTCCTGTATTAGCATATTACCCGTATTAGTATATTTCCCATATTAGTATATTTCCCGTATTAGCATATTTCCTCTATAAGCATATTTCCCATATTAGTATATTTCCCGTATTAGCATATTTCCCATATTAGCATATTTCCCATATTAGTATATTTCCTGTATTTGCATATTTCCTCTATAAGCATATTTACCATATTAGTATATTTCCTGTATTAGCATATTTCCCGTATTTGCATATTTCCCATATTAGTATATTTCCTGTATTAGCATATTTCCCGTATTTGCATATTTCCCATATTAGTATATTTCCTGTATTTGCATATTTCCCGTATTCGCATATTTCCCATATTAGTATATTTCCCGTATTAGCATATTTCCCATATTAGCATATTTCCCATATTAGTATATTTCCTGTATTTGCATATTTCCCGTATTCGCATATTTCCCATATTAGTATATTTCCCGTATTAGCATATTTCCCATATTAGCATATTTCCCATATTAGTATATTTCCCGTATTCGCATATTTCCCATATTAGTATATTTCCCGTATTAGCATATTTCCCATATTAGCATATTTCCCATATTAGTATATTTCCTGTATTTGCATATTTCCTCTATAAGCATATTTACCATATTAGTATATTTCCTGTATTAGCATATTTCCCGTATTTGCATATTTCCCATATTAGTATATTTCCCGTATTAGCATATTTCCCATATTAGCATATTTCCCATATTAGTATATTTCCTGTATTTGCATATTTCCTCTATAAGCATATTTACCATATTAGTATATTTCCTGTATTAGCATATTTCCCGTATTTGCATATTTCCCATATTAGTATATTTCCTGTATTAGCATATTTCCCGTATTTGCATATTTCCCATATTAGTATATTTCCCGTATTAGCATATTTCCCATATTAGCATATTTCCCATATTAGTATATTTCCTGTATTTGCATATTTCCTCTATAAGCATATTTACCATATTAGTATATTTCCTGTATTAGCATATTTCCCGTATTTGCATATTTCCCATATTAGTATATTTCCTGTATTAGCATATTTCCTGTATTAGCATATTTCCCATATTAGCATATTTCCCATATTAGTATATTTCCCGTATTCGCATATTTCCCATATTAGTATATTTCCTGTATTTGCATATTTCCCATATTAGTATATTTCCTGTATTTGCATATTTCCCGTATTTGCATATTTCCCATATTAGTATATTTCCTGTATTTGCATATTTCCCGTATTTGCATATTTCCCATATTAGTATATTTCCTGTATTTGCATATTTCCCGTATTTGCATATTTCCCATATTAGTATATTCCCCATATTAGTATATTCCCCATATTAGTATATTTCCCATATTAGTATATTTCCTGTATTTGCATATTTCCCATATTAGTATATTTCCTGTATTTGCATATTTCCCGTATTTGCATATTTCCCATATTAGTATATTTCCTGTATTTGCATATTTCCCGTATTTGCATATTTCCCATATTAGTATATTTCCTGTATTTGCATATTTCCTGTATTTGCATATTTCCCGTATTTGCATATTTCCCATATTAGTATATTCCCCATATTAGTATATTCCCCATATTAGCATATTTCCCATATTAGCATATTTCCCATATTAGTATATTTCCCGTATTCGCATATTTCCCATATTAGTATATTTCCTGTATTTGCATATTTCCCATATTAGTATATTTCCTGTATTTGCATATTTCCCGTATTTGCATATTTCCCATATTAGTATATTTCCTGTATTTGCATATTTCCCGTATTTGCATATTTCCCATATTAGTATATTTCCTGTATTTGCATATTTCCCGTATTTGCATATTTCCCATATTAGTATATTCCCCATATTAGTATATTCCCCATATTAGTATATTTCCCATATTAGTATATTTCCCATATTAGTATATTCCCCATATTAGTATACAGTATTTCCTGTATTAGCATATTTCCCGTATTTGCATATTTCCCATATTAGTATATTTCCTGTATTTGCATATTTCCCGTATTTGCATATTTCCCATATTAGTATATTTCCTGTATTTGCATATTCCCCATATTAGTATATTCCCCATATTAGTATATTTCCCATATTAGTATATTTCCCATATTAGTATATTCCCCATATTAGTATACAGTATTTCCTGTATTAGCATATTTCCCGTATTTGCATACTCCCCATACAGTTCTTGAGGAGGTAAACGTGTGTTGATTTACACAACCATTAATTTTTAACAAAGTGTGTAACAAACTTTACATGAACTCCGTAAAGAATCACAGGAAGTGATCACAGCATCCGGCGACCCCTTTAACAGCCCAGAGCTGGAGGATTAGACTAAAGAGATGTGTTTAGCGTTTGCTGCCTGTGTGTGTGTGTGTGTGTGTGTTGGGTTTGAGGTGTTGGTTCCTCTGCTTTTTCCGCTTTTAAAGGAAGCTGCTGATGTTGATGTTAGTGTTGGTGTGATTTGAGGATCAGTCTGTGTTTGAGACGGGATTGAACTTTACTGACTTTAACATCCTACGCTCTTAAAGATAAGGATCCGTTCACTCTCAAACGTCACACAAAGCCAGATGTTTACGATGCGAGACATCAGTAGAAGTAAATGATCAGTGATTCAGCTGTTAAATGAAACACACGGTCGTGAAGTTGTGCGTTTTCTGTATTTCTGTGTGGAGTGTTGAAAACCAAGGGCTGCATCAATGCATTTACATTTCTGCTGTTTTTAATGCGAATGCGATTGATGAGCCTGATGTTTGAAGAGTCCGTAACTTCAGTGTGTTCATCAGTCCTCATCAGAGAAGAGTTAAACGCTCATCTTTCCCCCGTCGGACGTAACTGGGTTAATTTAACGCCCGTGTGCTGATGCTCGTCTCTGGGAGATGGAATGAAAGAGGGCGTCTCGTGATGATCATGACAGATGAGCCTGTGCGTTCCTGCACACCTGCTGTCCTGCAAACATGGTTTATCAGGTCATGTGACGTCCAGTTCGTTCATGTCAAGCGTATTCAATACATCCATGTTTAATACAGTTCTGTTCTATCAACAGCATGGGAGACATAATGACATATTTTTAAATTATTTGTTAATTATTGTTCCATACAAAAATGGGGTATTTGTACTGCAAAGTATCTAAATTGAGAACTTAAAAAAATGTATAACTAATTTAAATATTTTCTTTAATAATTGTGTTATTTTCGTTAATAATCTTTCCTTCCATACAAAAATGCTACAGTTTTTTTTTTTTTGGGTTTTTTTTTTTTTTTTTTTTTGCATAATTATAATTCAGTACAGAAAAAGAGATAATACTGAATACTATATGTTTTCTCTATAATAAGAGATGTTTTCATTGGAAGTGATGACAATAATCATAAGCAAATACTTTGCAGTTAAAAAATGCTACAAATTTTTTTCCTTCTAAGACTTTAGTTATTTGTCATTGATGCACTTCCTGTGGCCGCAGTTCTCTAGCTTATATCCTAAATCTCATCACTAGCTTTTATTTGATATATTTTATTATTTTAATACCTTGAAATAAACTCAGAACTCTCTATTTAGGTTACAGTTATCGTCGCTTCATCATAAACTGCTGCTTTTTTGTTGTAAGCTGCTGTCATGATGATGTGATCACTTTAATCTTATCAGTGTGTGTGTGTGTGTGTGTGTGTGTGTGTGTTAGCCAGCGTTCGGCGTGTCACTTCCTGTCCCGTCCACCACAGATAACTCATAATGAAGCTGTTTCTAATTTGTCCACAGCAGGATTTAAGGAAGAATTCACTATTGATTGCCGCAGTGAGTCAAGTGTGTGTGTGTGTGTGTGTGTGCGTGTGTGTGCGTGTGTGTTGTGCTTTAAGCTTTTGTCCGCTGGATCAGACTGTGTATTATGTCACTACCTGTCAGAAGTTTGGATACACCTGCTAGTTGTTCATCATGACTAGTTTCAGTAATACAGTAATAATAAGAGTCTGGTAATGATGATCAATCATAACATGTCACAAATAAAACTGTACAATAAGGTTCATTATTCAACATTAGTTAATATGAACTAAGAATGAACAATACTTTTATTAATCTTATTTAATATTAATTTCAACATTTACTAACATAAATTCCCATGTAAACTCTAATATCTGTGATTCTGGTGAACGTGAGTGTGTCCAAGCTTCTGTCTGGGTGTGTGTGTGTGTCGATCGCAGTGTAATCCAGCAAACTCACTCAACAGGCTAAAAGCTTCACAAACACAACACACACACTGTTAATTTACGTAATATATAATCATATAAGAGCGTAAAATAACATCTATATGTGTGATTTCTTCTCCTGTGCGACAGCCAAGCTGACTTCTGCTGTAAATACTGTGTTCCCTTTCGAAGGGAACTCAACAATACGTCGAATGACGCTATGGGGAACGCCTCAGGCGTGACAGGTGTCTGAAATCAAATATCAACTCACAGTAATCAGGTTGACCGGCGACAGCCCGTGCATCATCAGCTTGAATGATGAGCGCGTCAATCTGGATGTATAAGAAGGGCGCCTTGAAACCGTGACAACATCTTTTCGTCTTCAGGGACTGTTTGTCTGTTTGATAGTATCAACGATTAAGCGCGCAGAGACGTGAAGAAACACTTTGCGCGAGTGTGCCGACTTGTGTCCAGATATTT